CTATATGTCTAGTAAAACTTGCTGATCTAGTTATCACTTACGCACTCTAGTGATACTCCACATCCTATATGTCTAGTAAAACTTGCTGATCTAGTTATCACTTACGCACTCTAGTGATACTCCACATCCTATATGTCTAGTAAAACTTGCTGATCTAGTTATCACTTACGCACTCTAGTGATACTCCACATCCTATATGTCTAGTAAAACTTGCTGATCTAGTTATCACTTACGCACTCTAGTGATACTCCACATCCTATATGTCTAGTAAAACTTGCTGATCTAGTAAAATAGACTTCGTACAAAAAGCGATGCACAATTCTTGCACTTGTGTTGGTAATCCTGACGCAGTCTTACTCTTCAAAAGGAGTATCAGTGATACGTGCAAAAAATACCTCATTATTTTGAAAAAAAATGACTCGTTTATTTCTCTAAGTGTTATAAACAGCGGTTTCTTTTGACCATCAGGTTAATCTTCATAACATTTGTATATATTTTTTAGAATTAATATCATTTCCGACATGTTGTTGGGTTTTCTTTCTTCTTCCGAAAATTAATGGATTGAAATGTAATATTTATATCAACCTCATGTTCATGATGAAAACTTTAAAATATGGACCCTTTTTAGTGCCGGATTTGGAGTTTAATTTTGTGCTTTTCAAATTTGATATTTTTCGTTGTAATGTACATTGTTTTGAAATTGTATTGTTTCGTAGAAGTGACGACCAGAAATATTGTTAGTGTCCTTCTTTTGTGCTGGTTTTGTAGTAATTATTGTTAAGAATTAATGAAGTAGTTCAGTAGTAAGCCATAAAAAACAATCTTGTGCTATATGAGGGCATTTTATTGTGCCCCTCGGACGCTGAGGGTACGAAGCGCCCCTCGGCCGCTGAGGNCTGTCTCTTATACACATCTAGATGTGTATAAGAGACAGGGGTACGAGGCGCCCCTCGGACGCTGAGGGTACGAGGCGCCCCTCGGACGCCGAGGGTACTGTGCAACCCTCGGACGCTACACTGGAATTTGTTATAAGCAATTCAGGGTATTTTGGTTTAGTGTAAATGCATATCATTTCATAGTTAAGTTGTTAAATTATTATTTAAACTTGTATAGGCTTTCTGTGTCGAGCAAAAAGCTGACATTATTTACGAATATGTTACGCTGATCTTATACGAGGAGACAACTTTTCTATCATTTATGAGGTCCAGACTTTTATATGTTTTATGAAAAAGAAGATTTTAGTGCGGCATTCATGAGGAACTAAATTTTATATCATTAACGAAGAGCCAACTTTTATATCAGTTATTATAAGCCAACTTTAGTATAATTAAAGAGGAACTAATTTTTTAGCAGTTATGAGGAGATTATTTTTTTCATCATTCCTGAAGAGTCAATTTTTCTATCATTTATTGAGCCGACTTGTCTAGTAGGTATTCTAGAAGTCTCTTGCACTCTTTACTTATTTTTTCGTAACTATAAAGTTCGTCACAACAACGACAGCTCTGGGCAGCAGTATTTCGCGTATTGAACTTGCATCGTCTTGTAATTATGATAAAAATTGTATTGAATTTGAAACTTCATACCCGAGAGGTAGGTTCCGCTATACTCCTTTAGGCGCTGTGTCAAGAAGTTGTCTCGAGGTGTGTCAAGAAGTTGTCTCGAGGTGTGTCAAGAAGTTGTCTCGAGGTGTGTCAAGGTACTATATACATCTGTGATGAACTCAGCTGCATATACATTCGTATGAATGGATGCCCAGAATTCGTGCATGTGTGCCAGAATTTGTGTAT